CGGGTCTCGAATCCGCGGACTCAGGCAGTCCACTCACCTCAACCTCCCAAAGCATGGGATTACAGGCTGAGCCACTGAGCCCGGCGGGGTCAAGATTAGCTGTAGCCTGTGGACCAAGATCCCCTATTCCCAAAGGTCCTAATGAAGTATTTTATGGATTGAAAATATTTTTACAGCGTTAGAGGTCTAACTACTTATCTGTACTGTGCACTAGGGTAATTTGTGAAATACGGTCAAATATGTTTATTAGAAAAAGAGTCAGCTGGGCATGGTGGCTCAGGTCTATAATCCCAGCACTTTGGGAGGGCGAGGTGAGAGAATTGCCTGAACCCCCCGGGTTTAAGACCAGCCTGGGCAACTTGGCGAGACTTCTCTACAATAAATAAAAAAATTAGTCCCATCGACCTCTTTGATATTGATAGTGCAGATGCGGGGCTTGCAATTCCAATGTCTACCCCTCCAGCTCAGCAGGTAGGAACTTTTCAAAGCCTCCGTTTAACTTGTAATTTCCACTTATAAAAATAGATATTATGGCTGGACTCGGTGGCTCAGCCTGTAATCCCACGCCATTGGGAGGCTGAGGTGAGTAGATTGCTGAGCCCACGGGTTCGAGATCCGCCTGGGCAGCGAGACCTCATCTCTACAATAAATCAAAAAATTAGCCGGGCGTGGTAGCGCGCGTCTGTAGTTTCAGCTATTTGGAAGGCTGAGACGGAAGGATCGCCAGAGCCCAGCAGGTCGAGGCTGTGGTGGCCGGGAGCAGCCACTGCACTCCAGTCTGGGCGACATAGTGAGACTCCACCTCAAAAAATATATATATATTATGGCCGGGCGCGGTGGCTCAAGCCTGTAATCCCCGTGCTTTGAGAGGCTGAGGCAAGAGGATTGCCTGAGCCCACGGGTTCAAGACCAACCTGGACAACTTAGCAAGACCTTGTCTCTACAATAAATCAAAAATTTACCAGGGCGTGGTGGCGCATAACCAGCCTGTGGTCCTAGCTACTAGGTGTGGTGGCGGTTGCCTGTAGTTACAGCTACTTAGAAGGCTGAGGTGGAAGGATTGCATGAGCCCCGCAAGCCTGGGCGACAGAGTGAGAGACTCCAACTCAAAAAAAACCCGAAAAAGAGTCATCTTTATTTTAAATTTGTATTGGGAAATTCCTCATTTGTTTACTCTGTCATTCAGTTTCCTCATGTTATTTGTGTCTTGCTAATTGTTTTTTTTTTTTTTCGAGTTGGAGCCTCACTCTGTCACCCAGACTGAAGTGCAGTGGCCGCTCCCAGCCACCGCAGCCTCGACCGGCTGGGCTCCAGCGATCTTTCAGCCTCAGCCTTCCGAGTAGCTGGAATTACAGGCATGCGCTACCACATCCGGCTGATTTTTTGATTTTTATTGTAGAGATGAGGTCTCGCTGCCCAAGCGGGTCTCGAACCCGCGGGCTAAGACAATCCACTCACCTCAGCCTCCCAAAGGCGCGGGATTACAGGCTGAGCCACCGAGCCCGGCTTTCTTGCTAATTATTTTAACCCCCCTTTCAATTTTAATCTCAGGCATTTATTCTGAAATAAAATAATGAAACTTTGTGGATTGCCAGCATCAACTTTTCTGTTTGGTAGAGAACCCATGGACTTTGGGAATTTGAACTGTCTAGTTTCTAATTGTCTACCACTTCTTGTCTAGGTGAACTTGGACAAATAATTTAAACTTTCTGGGGTTCAATTTCAGCTCTAAAATTATATTACCTGTCTCGGTTGTTGTGGGCTTAAATATGGTAATATTTTTGAAGAGCTTAACATTGTCAGGCTTGTTTCCTTCCTTCCTCCTTCCCTGCTTAAAATGTTTTTCTTTGCTGGGCTCGGTGGCTCAGCCTGTAATCCCATGCCTTGGGAGGCTGAGGTGAGTGGATTGCCTGAGCCCACGGGTTCGAGACTCACCTGGGCAACTTGGTGAGACCTCATCTCTACAATAAATCAAAAAATTAGCCGGGCATGGTAGCGCGCGCCTGTAGTTCCAGCTACTTGGAAGGCTGAGGCGGAAGAATCACTGAAGCCCAGCAGGTGGAGGCTGCGGTGGCCGGGAGCATGCCACTGCACTCCAGTCTGGGCGACACAGTGAGACTCCAACTCAAAAGTAGAATGTTTTTCTTCCTTAGGCTTTTTTTTGTAAAAAATTTTGGAGAAAACTTTTGGGATGTCTGTCCTTCCTCCCATCCTTTTAAACATGGTCTGTCAGTAATTTCATTCTGGATATCTGTGGTTTCTACCTTAAATTCATTCATGTTCCATTAAAATGTCTGTCTAAATGATACACAAACGGATGCCATATAGACAAAGCAGAAAAGTTCCCTGTTAAATGTTCTGCTTTTATCTAAAACAGTTCTTAAATGTTACTAATCATGGTCATTGTGCCCTTGGCTAACACTGTTTTTGTAGGACATCGTGAAACCACTGACATTTAATTTTATCACACAGTCTGAGAACAAATGGACTAGCTGAAAATAAGTATATTATTTATGTAATGTGAAATTAGTTTTTTGAGAAAAACAAGTACAGTTAGATTTATCATAAGCATGTTTGTATATATAAATTGGTTATTTCAGATAAATTAATGACAAAAGTTAAAATTAAGAAAGCTCTATGTTTTTTCTCCATACAAAATGAACAGAAATTCATTTTGGTGATGGAACACTTTAGTCCGCCCCTTGAGATTATAGTTGGGAAGACTGCAACCTAAACTGTATTTGCTTGCTCTTTGTTTTGTTTTTTTTTAATAGTCAGTCTTGTTCTGTCACCCAGGTTGGAATGTAGTGGCACTCTCACGGCTACCGCAGCCTTGACCTGCTGGCCTCAGGTGATCCTCCTACACCTCAGCCTTCCAAGTAGATAGAACCACTGGTATGCACTACCATGCCAGGGTAATTTTTTTGATTTATTGAGGTCTTGCACACCCAGGCTCAGGCAATCCTCTTACCTCCACCTCCCAAAGTGCTGGAATTACAGGTGTGAGCCACTGCACCCGGCCTGCTTGCTTTTTTTTTTTTTTTTTAGTAGGATTCTTACTCTGTCACCCAGGCTAGAGTGCAATGGCACACTGCTCATGGCCACCACAGCCTCCACCTCCTGGGCTCAGGCAGTCCTTCCATCCCAACCTTCCAAGTAGCTGGAACTACAGGTGTGCGCTACCATGCCCAGCTGATTTTTTGATTTATTGTAGAGATGAGGTCTCGCCAAGTTGCCCAGGCAGGTCTCAAACCCCTCATCTCAGGAAATTCTCTCCTCGGCCTCCCAAAGTACTAGGATTACAGCTTGAGCCTCTGTGCCTGGCTTGCTTGCTCTTAAGTTGGCTTTAGCTATGTCCCCCCAAACTTCATGTAATTCATCCTTCACGTCTCCTGGGCTCAACTTTCCATTCTGAGTTTTTATTTAAGCTAAGTGTGATGGATTCTCCATCCTACATATCTTGGATTCCATTCCCAACAGTTTCCTAAGATGTCTTCCTGCTTGGTCTGATTCTGCCCCTTTTCAGTTTGTGTCCACACTGCTGTTGAGTAAGTTTTCTAAATCACAAATCTACTGGGTCAAGTAGTCCTCCATCCGAAAACCTGTTAGTGACCCCTGTTACTCACAGGTTAAGTGAACTCTCTAGCATGATGTACATAGCTGTGGCAATACCATCTTTATCTCCTGCTGTCTCCTATTTGAGTCTATAATTCTGTTCTGAACTTCTGTACCCATGTTGAAGTACTCCATCCATAATTCTTTTTTTTTTTTTTTT